GTTTCACAGACAGGCCTTAGATTGAGCCAGGGTTAGGCCTTAGTTAAATCAGAACAATTACTGTAAGTAGATTTTTTTAAACAAGCCTTAGAAAAAAACATTACTAATGTACATATTTTAAGATTAAGCTCACACAAGTATTTTAGTCTGGGGCAAGGCTTAAAGGATTAGTTCACCTCAAAATGAAAATTTTCTGATAATTTACTCACCCCATGCCATGCATATTCTGGATGTTTAAAACAATGGGGCGGTACTTCCGCCTACGTCCAGCAGTGTGACCTTTCCAACATGATTACGTAAAGCCTGGCACGTCGCAGACCAGCACAAGACGAACAGTTTTCACTAGATAAGACTCTATTCCTCAGCTGGGATCGTGCAGAGCCCTTTGAAGCATTTCAAAGCCCTTTGAAACTGCATAGATTTGGACTTCAACAATTTGGTTTCCGTTGAAGTCCATTGTGTGGAGAAAATCCTGAAATGTTTTCCTCAAAAAACATCATTTCTTTTCCACTGAAAAAAGAAAAACATGAACATCTTGGATGGCATTGGGGTGAGTAAATTATCAGGAAATTTTCATTTTGATGTGAACTAATCCTTTAAGTCTTGTCCGTGAAACTGGGTATAAGATCATTAACACCAGTGTACCTGTGTGAGTAAAGCTTTACTTGAAATCACGGTCTTCTGCATGGTATTTTTACACCATTCTGAAGTCAAAGCCATCGGCACACTCCCATTACTCATCCTTAATGTATGCTATACTCTAGGGAAACCAGCATGGCCCAAATTTGTGCACTATACGCTAAGGGCACTACAGCACTGCAAGAATTTTGAATATTATTTCTGTAAGTACTAGAAAGTTTTAAAGCTCAATAAAAAAATACATTGTCCTAGGTGGGTAGTCAAATATACAAAAAAATTATATTAATCTTTTTTTTTTTTTTTTTTTTATCATATACCATTCAAAACTATGAGGTCAGTAAGATTTTATTTTTGTAAGGATACATTCAATTGATTAAAAGTGAGAGTAAAGGACTTTAATTGTTACAAAAAAGTCTTATTTCAAATCAATTCTGTTCTTTTTTTACATGACATTTGACATTTTAAAATTGATTAAAATAGAAAACAGTGGTAAACTTATAAAGTGGAATACAAGTAAATATCATTTCTGGGATTTTTCTGGACTGGCTGACTGAACTTGTATATGTATAGTGAGCAATAGATTTTAAATTGAGCTGAGCGAGAACATGCTTCTCTGACCCTTGTCCTCCTCTTCCCGGGCACATTGCCAGAGGTTATAACACACACACACACACACTCAAAAACGGCAACAGGATCACATCAGAGCGAGTGTTAAACCAGACAGCAGCTTCCGGCCAAAACTGCTTACACTCACATTAGTAACACCATTAAAAAGGGCCTGCCAACACCCTTGCCATCTCACCACTGTATTTTCGTTCAAAACTTCGTTCAAAACTGAAAATTGTAGCAAAACACTAAATTGTATGATATTTTCATGCGATTCAGGTGAAAATACACTTACTATTCAGTACCGTAATATTATCGATTTGACTGCAGTCACTGCACTGACACTATCGGATGAGAGCAAAACTAAACTAAATTAAAGCGGGATAACGAAATTGAGCGGGATGACGACACCACTAAATTACTGAATTGACAAATTTTGCAAAAATTGACACATTGAACTGAATCAACATTGAACTGACTTGAGCCAAATAATGATACTGTAGTCTACTGTAGAGATGTTTATTGTTGTATTGAACAAATTTCATAAATTGTGAACTTTACAACTGAACTGATTTGAGCTGAATAGTGACACACTATTGTCTTCTGTTGAGAATAGCAGAATTTCTCTTGTTTGACGAAGTCTGCATCAATGATTGTTATTCTCCTGTTTATTATACTGCGAGGCCGCTTTGAAACAACATGTATTTTGACTTGAAAATCAAAGCTATTATTATAGAAGACAATATTATTTTTCTAAATCTCCCAACCCTCACCTGGGGGTTTTCTTTCCATCTTCGTACGTCTCTATCCAGTGTTCTCGCAGAAGATCAATCTATAAATCTTGCACTCATGCATAAATATCAACTCAGCATGCTCCTGCAAACAGCGTTTGTCCTTCAGCTTAGAACCGTAACTATGAGGGATCTGAAAGGAGGAGCGGGGCAGGGAGTGTGTGTGTAAGAGCAGGTTGCCTGGACAAGAGAGCAGCAAGAGACTGTTGTGGATACTGAATCCCCAACTGAGATCACACTCAGGAATTATGCACCTTCATAAGCACTCAAACTCCCTCTCATTCTGACTCCCTCTCTTCCCTATCACTCCTAAACTGTCTCTCTATCCCTCTATATTATGGTTCCTTTCAGAGTCCCAAAAGACATTTCAGACACTTTGAACAATACGCACAAAGATGAGCAGCGTAATCATTCATTTTCATTTAAGCTGTATGTTGCTTTGCTCTCAATTATGAAAAAGTTTATATAAACATATTTTAGAATGTGCACACTATTTTCTAATCCTAATGGTTTTATTGATTTGTTCAGGGGAGTGGACCAGCTATTGTTCTCTGGACAAAATCCTCATCTTTTACAGAAGCAGCAGCAACATGATGCTTGATTTCCAGCTTGAGGCTTGAATTTGATGCTTGATTTACCATGATTATGAATGATAAGCTCTGCAAATCAGCCAAAACTGAAGGACATGACAGCATTATGTTTATATTCCACAATTAGAATATCACCCTCTATTCATGATTTTATGTGTCAGTTCCTAAAAAGAAGATTTAGACCACGATTGAATACAAAATTCCCTGTACAAACAGAGGAATTAATCAGACTTCACTGGCTACTGACCAAGCAGGTCTGCTTCTAATTGTAAACAACACAAAATCTGAATGACAATGATATCTCTTAATATAGGCTGACATTTCCATGGACATCAAGATTTACATAAGGGCTGTATGAAGAAAATTAAATCTGGGGTGAGCCTTTCTTTACAGCTTTTTATTACTCTAAATCACAATTTTTTTAGTATTAATTATTGATTATTAGTAATTTAACATTTGTTATTTAAAAATATATATTATTTTAAAATAATGAATTAGTAAACAACATTTAAAACACATTAAAATATTACTACCCATATACAGTAGATAGATAGATAGATAGATAGATAGATAGATAGATAGATAGATAGATAGATAGATAGATAGATAGATAGATAGATAGATAGATATTAATATAAAACTTAACTGGGACTAATAACGTTAGTCATTTTACAGTAACGTTACATATTTGTCACGAACTTTTTGAAGGACTTGCCACTTTTTCTTTGCAATATTTTCCGTCGTGTTAATTATGGTCATTCATGGGAAAATGAATAACACGTTAGTCACCGCAAAGAAGCTTTCAAACAAAAAGGAGTTATATAAAAATAAAATAGAATAACAAACAAACAAACTAACGGCCCTTCAGTTCGCGCCATTTCCATCTCCCCAAATGTAACAACGATTTTAAATAATTTAAAAGACGGCGCAGAAGGAGGACTTTAAAAGAACGACTATTCATCATTTACGTGATGTGGCAGCGGGCTTGATGTTGCACCCACAGGATGAAATCCTATATCCTTCACGAGTGTATCACTTGATACCGCATCAACACGCAGGTAACGTTCAGATGAGGCGAAAGATAACACAGAAAACCAGCCTACCTGCATAACATTTGGTGCTGTGATGTGTATATAGAGAAGTCCTATGTTTTCAGAGGTACAGAGACAGTGTGCACCGCAGCGACACCGCATCCCGGAGACTGAGGAGGAGAACAGAAACCTGAAGAGCAGATGAAGAGAACAGCAGGGGGCGCTCCACTGCAGCGCTGGCCTAAATCACCACAGAAACCCCACCCGAGAGAGAAAGAGAGATTGTAGCTTTCATTGTTGTGTGAGGAAATGATGCTATCGTTTTAATTTATTTTTAATCAAATCTTTATCAGCTGAGCAAACCAATAAAAATCAGCGTGGAAAAAGTGCGAATCGCAGCCTTATTCTTATCCTTTCTAATATGTCATAATCAATTATTACTATTAGTAATTAGCTTCCATGTAAATGTTTACAAATTCACTATACACTGTGACTGTCGGTATGTCATGTCATTTACCGAAAGCCATTTCTTTAAGGCCTTGTTTTAATGGATAATGTCGCTCAAATGATGCATCTGTCTCACTGAGATTCTTCATGACATTACATAAGAGAGATTTACGCTGTTTCTATGAAGCACATAATCTTCCTGATGCTGTTGGATATATATAGTTACATGTTAGATCCTAATGCAAATGAGCACATATTTGCTAATGCCTTCATGTTCCTGTAAGACAGTAAATAACAATTTAAAAAAAAAAACGAAATCGATACTACATTAGCTCAGAAAAATGAGATACTTAATTGCCATCTCTTGTAAGTGTTATTCTGAGACAGGCAAAATGAGAGATAGTGTGTTTCTCAAATCTAAGGCAATAAACAGCTTCCAATGCCCTAGATAAAACTGGACATGTGGTTTGAATATGTGCAATTAGGATGAGCTGCCTTTGGGACACTGAAAACAACAATTACCATGCAGCTACTCATGCATCATGATTAATCCAGGCAGATGTTTCCACATTATAACACGCAAATGCAAGCTTCTACATAATATTGTTGGGATGCATGATAGCCCTTGTTCCGATGAAGAAATCGTCTCCCCTAAAACACTTAAACCATCACTCTTTGATGATTTCATGCTTTCTTTATGTTTGTTTCAGAGTACTATTTGTGTTAATGCTTATAGTTATTTTTCACTACTGTGCATAAAAGCAAACATTTCAAAATATAGTATGTGCAAAATGGTAAGATATTCAAAAGGTCTGGGAAAGGCTGAGTGTGAATTTCCCTGGAAAGTGTTCTGCTCTTTTTCAGACTGCCCAATAAATTGAAATGTCCAAAACAGCTTAAAACAGCAAAAAAGAAAACCTTTTTATTCCAGCAGTGTTAAAGCAGGAACCTTCAAACAGGACCTTTAGAGACCACACATTGAGAAAACCACAAGCCCCAAAACTAACCCCGTTCCTCGAAGAAAAGGCAGATTTAAGGCATAAGAACAAAAACTACTTTCTATTTGGCGGCGGGTTGACGACAGTGGAGAGATGGATATGAGCCAACTTGTCTTCCAAATACATGGTAATCGGCAAAAAAAGGAAAGCTTCAATCTGTCTGTTCCATTTAGATCCAGATGAAAAGCTTATGAGGGTTTCAACTGACTTCTCAGTTCCTAAACATGATAAAACTTATCTACCATTTTATTATAGCATTTCCATGAATTAAATTGCGCTTATTTCAGCTTCTATTGTTTTAATAGTAAATATAGATATTATTTTAAAGAGAATTTTAAAGGTTATTTTAAGTCATTAAAGAAAATCATTACTAAAGAAAAACAAAAATCTTTAAGTCATATCAATATCAAACACTCCATACCCATTGCAATGATCCTATTTCTTAAGTGTCAAAACTGAACAAAGTCACCGTTTACAAGATACAACTCTCATGTGAAAAATCTAGGCTTGCTCTATCTCCACAAGAACCCCATCACAGTCTTTAGGGTGGAGGAACATCACAGGTTTGCCATGAGCTCCTATCCGTGGCTCTGGGGAGAGCAGCCGGATTTTCTTTTCCTTCAAATCCATTATTGCTGCATTGATGTCATCCACCTGCAATCACACAGGCAACACATAAATAACGGACTGGTTTAACATTTATGATAGATCCTTACTGTATTCTGTCCACTATTAAACTGATTACTTTCTGATAGGAAAAGGTCTGAAGACACCTACAAATAGATTATACAAAAAAAAAAAAGTTTCTAAATTTTCCTCATTATCCCATCTAATTTTACTTTTATATGGAAAAATTGTAAATGGAATGAACATTATAAAGTAGTATTAAATATTATATTCTGGTGTTTCATATTCATTCTAAAAGCTATTTTAAAATATGAACTGCATATGTTTTTATTCGATTTTAGTTTTGTCCATTTACTTTTTTTAAAATAAAATATATTACTTTAAAAAAGTTATCTTAATGAATATTGTGATTGTATGTGCTTTTTTGTGATACATGACACCATGTGATTTGATTTTGTTTTATGTGAGTGTTATGTAACTTTTTTTGTCCATCTATACATTAGTACATTTTGTATAACTAAAATAATATATTGCATAAATAAAATAAATAAGTAAATATTGTGAGAGAAGCCAAAGAAAAATTTGATTAATAAAAAAAGTCTAAGTAAGCCAGTTGTTCTCAACCTCAACTTAATTAAAATGCTAAAACACACAAGGGCCTTTTTAACTAGTGATGACCAGTAAAATACTTCTAGTCTTTCTAGACAATATCCTTCAAGTCATTGTCATTATATTGCATGCAACCAAATCTAAATCTTAAAGAAACACTAAAAATTGTTTTATATGATTTATAATAATGCTAGCAAGCAGGATTGTTATAATTACAACAGAAACACCAGAGGAAACATCTTAATGTTGGGACCTTTATATTGGGTATATGTTTTTAGTAAAAAATGTTGACAACCACTGATCTAACCTAATGTAATGTTTACCTCAATACAGATATGATGCATCCCTCCGGCTTTATTCTTCTGCAGGAAACCTGCAATTGGGCTTTTTTCTCCCAGAGGGTGTAGAAGCTCTAATTTTGTATTTCCCAGTTCCACAAACACGGTGTACACTCCGTGTTCAGGGAGAGGCACCGTGGCGCTCACCTGAGCCCCGAGCACATCGCGGTACAGTGCTGTGGCTTTCTCTAGGTCTGGGACTGCGATAGCCACGTGATTCAGCCTACCTAACTTCCACAGTGACCGAGGTACACCTTGACTGACGGGACCTGTCAGAGACAATGCCCTCACTGAGTGGACACTGTGCCGAGCACATCTCGAGAGACCTGTCACTGCAAGTCAAATGAGATTGCAATATGGATGCAATAATATAGAACGATAATTACAACAAAAGTAGTCTATAATGGATTTTAATAACGACAGTTCTCAAAAAGTAAGATACAGACAACTGCAGGTAGAATAGAACAGCTCTATTTGTTAAAAAAACATTCAAACTAATTACATAACGTTAAAACAAACTCAGTTTACTACTTCTGTATTTAACTCACCTGCAACCTTTAATAAAGGGGAAGCCATCTTTGCGGTCATTGACAAAGAACAAAACTTTATTTAAACAGCTCAAGCTCGAAGCACGCATTCATTTACGTGTTCTGGTAATATACGCATGATTTACCCATATAATTATTATCATAATATTTTAATTTTAAAATCATGATTACGCTTTACCACAAACATAAATTAAGAAACATCGCGGTTATGTGGAACCTTTTATGCGGAACGCAATACAGTGTATAATGTGTCCAGGGGTTGTATTTACCAAGCGCACTCGGAGACCCATGTGAGAGCTGAGATGGCGAACGGGGATGGCAGCACGCTGGAAAGCTGTTTACAGCTATTAAGCAGCAACACAGCTCACACGGAGTTATTTCTCAGGTTGGATGCACTTTGAATGAATTAAATATTTCGTTGAATGGGTTGTTCATCCGAGTTAGTACGTGTTCTGACGTTAAACGAGCCTAAACTGGTATCGGGCCACCCATGTGCAAAACTCACGTTGTGGTTGCGCGTATATGTTAAGTGAAAATGTTATTCGTACAGTTTAACACGTCTCTGTCCATGTCGTTTCCAATGGTAGTTTTATTTATAAACTCTAAATAGATAATTAGCATGTGATAGCGTGGTATTACGGTGATATAAACAGATGGGTTCTGGAAAGAATGCCTGACATTTCTCTTTTATGCTCTCAATCTATATTCAGTGTCCAGGATGCTTTGGCAACAGACTTCACATCACTTACCAAGACTCTTTATGATCTGCATAAAGCCCACAAGCCTGCATACTGCAAAGGCAGTCCACTGGTGCAGCTGACCATCGAAAACTTTGACGAGGAGCAAATCTGGCAGGAGCTGGAGCTTCAGAACACTGCATTACTGACACGGTTTGAGAAGTCAGTTGAGCAAGCTGTTGCAGATGACACGATAACATTTTTGGAAGATATGGAGGAGGATGGGGAAGTGGATAATGGTTCGGAAGAAGAGACTGAAGGTGAAGATGATGATGATGATAAACTTGAGGATGATGATAAAGATGAAGAGGAGAAAATTGAGCAGAGGCTGAAGCCATCAACAAGCAACGGGGATGATGACTTCTCTGGCGAAGACTCAGATTTGGATTTTGATGTAGATAAATTTGAGAAACAAACCAAACAGAGACAGTCCGCTACCAAATTATCAAAATCTAATGCGACTCCATCAGAAGTGGATGACAGGTTTTTCAAGCTATCTGAAATGGAAGCTTTTCTGGAAAACATGGATAAAAGAGAGGGAAAGGAGAGTGTAGATGAGGATATAGACTATTTTCAGAATTTGCCATCTGATGAAGAGGAGGAACTAAGGTTTGATAAACCACTCAAATTGAAACAACAGAAAAAGGTGATGGTGTAATAGGGTTTTTGAACGTAAACTTAAAGTAACATGTAATGAAACTCACAATGTCTTTTAATTTTACAGAAGAAAAGCTCCAGAGATATGAAGTACAAAGATTTCTTTGCTCCAGTGGATGGAGAGCCTGAACAGAGAGCTCCGGATGAAGAGAATGAACCAGAATCTAATGATGATTATGTGGGAGAAGATGAAGATGATATGAATGAGGAGAATTTTGATATGGAAGAGTAAGTCATGACTGCTGTCTTTGTTGTGTTTTAACGGAATAAAGTGATAAAGCATTTTCTTTCAGAGATTTAATGCTTTCGCCTTCTTCATTTAGGGATGACATGGGTGATAGAGATGCAAGAGATTCTTTACGCAAGGTGACATTTGACCTTCCAGATGAGAGTGAAGGGGAGGATGTGGAAGACATTCTGGGTGGAAAAGCAAACAATCTGCTTAAACCTGAGGTCAAGTCATCCTTTGAAAAGCGACAGGAAAAGGTTTGTCTTTAAAATGACTTTTCCCTGTAGCACTCAAACTATGGATTTGTTAAGTGTTTTAGTTGTGGTGTGTCCAAACTTGGTCCTGGAGGGCAAACTAAAATTTGCAGGACAGTGCCCCTCTGCGAGTAGAGTTGTTCTGATTCCGATACTACCATCGAAAAAACTGCCGATACCAATAAAAATTCTGGCATCGGTATCGGCGAGTACTTCTACCCATGTATCGATCCGATACCTTTTTCTTAAACAATAACTAATTATGAACGCCAGCTTTGCTTGACGCTGCAAATCGGAGATCAATTCTTCTTCGCTGCAGCACAAGAAGTTGTGCTGTTGCCACAAACAGCGAAGAAGAAAGCGTGCGTGCGCTAGCAGTATGTCCGCTGTTTGGCAGTATTTAAGACTGGATCAACCAGCCAGTACAACAGCTTCAACGCTTAATAAAGCATTTGAAGACGCGTCACCCCGCAGAACAAAATGGCAAGGGCAGCGAAGAGAATCAACAATCTCTAGAAGCTTAATTCAAATGAAGCAAAGTTTACAAAAGACAGTCAACGAGCGATAAATATAACCGACAAAATTATCGAGTTCATTGTTCTGGATGACCAGCCGCAGTCAAAACTGAAATACTGTGTATTTAACAAAATTGTTTCTGGATAAAGAGGTTATTTTCCTATATTATTCATATCAGTTTTTAGATTCCTTGTATTGTAAATCTAAATATCTTTCTCAGTTTAAAGTATTAGATGTGTGGCTACATTTTAACTTCTTTTTTTTCACTTTAGAAAAATAAATAATATATTGCTTTGAAATGTCAGATAATAAAAAAACTCTAGTTCACTGTATGTATTTGTTCATGTTTAATTAAGGGATGAGTTTGAAGCACACCATAAAATAATTCTATCAATTCATACAGGGCTAGTATGAATTGTATAGATAAACACCCATGCATCGAATCAGAACTCGATATCGGCCAGGTATCGGGAAGGAAAATGGGTATCGGAACATCTTTATCTGTGAGCTGGATTGGACACCATGTTTTAGTAGTATTTATTATTTTTAGTTTTATATATTTTATATATTCAAATTTTGTTATATGTTTATAAGGTTTAATTCAGTTTTTAGTATTTTTTTTTTCTTTTTCAAGTTAATAAGTTAAACGTATTTCAGTTAGTTGCTAAGGCAATAAAAAAAAATTATTCAACTAATAACCCTGGTTGATATGAATTGAAACAGATGAAAAAACAGATTGAAGAGCTGGAAAAAGCTGCGTTGTCAGAGAAGCCTTGGCAGCTGTCGGGAGAGGTGAGCGCTCAGACTCGACCGGAGAACAGCATGCTGGAAGAGGATGTGGCGTTTGACCAGGCCTCTAGGATGGGTGAGTTTCATGCTGATTTCCATTGCAATATTGCTTATTTATAGATTTGTTCATTACTTTGTTTTTCTCCTTCACAGCTCCTGTAATCACAGAGGAAACTACCTTACAGATTGAGGATATAATTAAACAGAGAATTAAAGATCAGGTTTGTTTAGACTTCCATGGTTTTGTTGAGGGGCTTATAAAGTAAATAATTTATGTTATGCTTGTTTCATGCATTTAATGTACGTCATGTTTTTGTCACACAGTATCTCAATAAAGGGTTGCTGAGCTCTTTGCGTTTGATTTGTTGTGTGTCAGGTGTGGGATGATGTGGTAAGGAAAGAGAAGCCTAAAGAGGAGGTGTTTGAATATAAGAAGAGACTCACTCTGGACCACGAGAAGAGCAAACTGAGTCTGGCCGAGGTTTATGAGCAGGAGTATATCAAACAGACACAGGTGAGTCCTGTCCACTGTGTCTCTCTTCCATATCCTGCTGAAATTGTGTTTTTTTTATACATATGTACATATTTAGAATATGTATATGTGTATATACATTTCAAATAATTTAATTATTTGAAATGGAAATCATTTGTAACATTGTAAATGGATTTACTATCACTTAAAAAAAATCCTTGTTGAAAAGAACTATTTATATATATATAAATAGTTCTTTTCAACAAGGATTTTTTTTAAGTTTACTCTTAAACTATTATATATAAAACTTTTTTTTATATAAAAAAAAATTATATATATAAAACTCAAACTTTTGATTAATTGTTTGTCCTCAGGAAAAGAAGGAAGAGGAAGAGAACCCAGCGCATGTAGAAATCCAGAAACTTATGGACACCCTTTTCCTCAAACTGGATGCTCTGTCAAACTTCCACTTCACACCAAAACCAGTGAGTAAAACATCCTTTGCAGCTCGAGCCAGCTATAGTGTATTCCTGCATGTGTGAAATGTGAAAGAAAAGCATCTTCATATGAGACATTCTTTATTAAAGAAGTGTTGTTCTTTTCTGTTTAGCATGTTCCTGAGGTGAAAGTCGTTTCCAACTTGCCTTCTATTTCTATGGAGGAAGTGGCTCCAGTTAATGCGAGTGACGCCACACTGTTGGCTCCAGAGGAGATTAAGGTTTGTGCGGTCTGCTCGCATCTCTTCCCATCTATCCTGTTAAGAAAGAGTTTGCTTTGTAGTGTTTGTGTGAAACATTTTCACAAGTCAGATTTGAAAATTTCCATGAGATGTCAATGCATTTCATTTCATTTTCTTATCCCAGGAGAAGAATAAGGCAGGAGATATACTTGGAGAAACAGAGAAAACCACTACCGATAAGAAACGAGAGAGACGAAAGAAGAAGAAACTGAAGCGTCTGAAGATTCAGGAGCAGGAGAAGAGACAAAAACTCAAAGAGGTGATGAAAGGCAACAAAAAGAAGAGTAAAGCTGAAGTTGAAAAGACTCTCAAGAATCTTACTAAAGGAGGAAAAGCGAAAATACTCACGGTCAGTAACTGAAGTCCAATGCAATTATTCTATTGTGGTTTGTGTATATTTTCTAACTATTGTGGTTTTAAGTGTATATCTTCTAACTCTTCCTGTATTTTCCAACAGAATGATGGCATGGATAAGGCCCTGCGTTCCTCTCAAGCTTTCTTCACCCAACTACAAGACCAAGTCAAGAGCCAAATCAAGGGCTCAAAGAACCAGACAGCAAAGAAGAAACAAAAAGAGATTTCTGTAAGCAAGCTGAAGTTGTAATGTTATAACCCATTTTAAAAACAATATGTACAGTTATTTGTTTTTTGAGAAACCTAATTGAACTTATATCCTGTCATTTTTATTCAAATACAGATTTCTTTTTCTTGTAAATTTGTGTCCTGGAGGTTTTTTTTGGACTATATTTAAACACTCTCACTATTAACTGTTAAAACATATTGCAAATATTGCGCTTAGAATAAATGGCTTGTATTTCTTACAGAGAATGAGTACTATATTACTAAAACAATTTTTCATTAAAATCATTGATTTATATATATATATATATGTGTGTGTGTGTGTGTGTGTTTGTGTGTCAGATATATTGTATTTCATTTTTGGCCATTTTTCATGGATGCATAAAGTTCCCATTAATCACATTAACAAATGTTAAACATGTTCTATGTTCATGTACAACACAAAAACATGTTCTATGGCATTTTAAAACCAAAAATATGCTTGTGCTATATTTATTTTTAAATAAGTTTTGACATAATGCAAGCAAATGCATTTATTTATTGTATATAAAATACTACCAGTCTGTGGCCACTGTATATCTTTCAATAAATAAGTCAAATGCATCATTCAGAAGGTATGGGAAGAAAAAGTATTTAATTTATATTTATTCATAGTCATTTTATGATTCACCTGAGCATTTACTAATGAATAAACGTATACTCATGTCCAGTTAGGCATAGCAGTAAGTGGTCAGAAGAGGGCAGTACTCTTGAGTGAAGTACTCTGTAATGTTTTCCTTATACAGGTTGTTTAACCTGAACTTGTGTTTTGAGGGCATAAACAAATGGAATTTAAGACTGCTTTTGCTGATTTCTAAACTCTTAAAACTATTAGAAAGTCATATTTAATGTGCTGAAGACACATTAAGTCAAATGTGGCAATTTCTTTTATTTGCATGAAAATCTGAAGAGCCCTATTTTGCATATTGCCACAAAACAAGGCTCCCATAAGTTCACAAACAAAAACTAAAATAACAACTTAATTGATTCAAAGACAAAACTGTCCAACCACTGATATCTTTAACAACTTCCATACAAAGCTTTGGAATTAGTCAGCGTTGTTCCACTTGCACACCAGAGGGGAAACTCCTGTGATGCGTTTTGAAACATTTTTTTTTTGTCATATCCAGAGTAAAAAAAAAAGAAAGAAAGAACAGGTACATTGCAATTCAGGGCCCGCAACAACAAGGCACAGAGGATTTGTACAATGTCCCTGTTTTAGGTTTCTTTGCATAACTGAATAAATATCAGTGCTGTTTGACAAATCAAACCGTGCCATTAAAGCAAACAGTTTTCATACTGACAGCATTAGTGGTAAACTACACACACATACTGTGCATTACTTCAGACTAGTTAAAGGACATCGGGGGAAAAGGTAAGTACCAAGTTCTAGCAAAAAAAAAAAAAAGAATATAAATTTAAAACTTTACAAAAAAAATTCCCCAACCATAATTAAAAGAACAAATCTAAAATTAAAGAGGCTACATATCAAACCAAGACCAAGGTTACTGTTGCATTGATCAAATAAGCAAAAGTTCACAGGTGCATTTGCACAACTTAATTATAAGTATACTGGGATGCTGTTTAAGACACTGACTACATGACTACTTGTCAAATCAACCAGCTGATTGGCTCGAGCAGCTGTCAGTCACTTAAACAGCCATGGTGTGCTTCAGAAAGAGCAATGTCTGACAGACAAGGATCCAGCCAGCCTGAGAGACACCCATATTGTGCACAGTTATTGCTTGCTATTGGGGTTTATGCTGATAAACCCTGTCAATTCCTATATCAAGATTCACAATTTTGGTTATTCATTTTAATAAAGCTAACTACAGTTAGACCTTACCAGAAGGTTTCAAGAAATCTTAAACTATTTTAAGATTAAAAGATAAAATATATGCATATTTTATACCATAGATTTAAAGTTATAGTTCTACGATAACACTTTATAATAAGGTTCAGTTCAATAACATCAATTAATGCATTAGGTATGGAGACTCAGCATTTATTAAGCCTGGTAAATGTTAATTCAACATATATTGTACTAACACATTTTTTAAGTAAATATCAACATTCACTAATGTAGTATGAATACATGAATTAGCAAACAGTAGTTTGGGTATTTTGTAAAGAAATTTATACTTCAGAAATCAGCATATTAGAATGATGTCTGAAGGATCATGTGGCACTGATGAAAACTGAGCTTTGCCATCACAGGAATAAATAATACCTCAAACTGCTTTAAAATAGAAAACAGTTTTGAATTGTAATAATATTTCATAGTATTTTTGATTAATAAAAAACGCAAGCCCAAACGTTTGAATGGTAGTATGTATTCATATAAACCTTTGATATGTACTATAAAAAATGTATTGTTAGTTCACGATACCTAATGCGCATTAAGTAATGTTAACAAATTGAACTTTAATATAAAGTGTTACAAGTTCCACGTCCTTCCCAATTAATGCCACAAGCTCCACACAAAGTATTTTAAGTTCAACACAAGAAGAAAAGTCCATACCGGCAGTGTAGAACACATCCAAACAATCCTAAGTCAGAAAAATGTGCGATTGGAGCTTTATATTAAATCATGTGCAAAAAAAACCCACACCGACTGACAACTCTCAACAGACAGGTGACTGTCGGTACCACAAGCCAGCACATTCAAAATGAGAGTTAAATACAAGTGAGAAGATCTTCAAGCCTTAGATCTTCATGTCTGCCTGACCTCACAGTCCTATCCCAGCAGTGTGCCTTCAAATCGTCTCATTAGCCAGTGTCTCCGTAGAGAGCCATATCTTGGCTCCATTGAGGAACTTGCTAAGAGGAGTCCCCAGGATGCCGGGTCGGCACAGGTTACCCATAGGAGAAAAGGGGAACGAGGAGCTGAGGTACTCTGGAGGAGCAAGGGACTGGTGAGGAGTCGAAGTCACCTTAAAATACATTTTGCTGTGCTCTGTGTGTGGGTTGTTGGGAGTACAGCCTGCTCCATTGTACTGCCTCAACTGGCTCTGGAGCATTTCAATCTCATCTGTGAGCAATGAGAGCTTGTGGAAGGCGGTGATGGGTCCGCCTTGTGGGATCTGTGCCTCGGGAACCCAGCGGAGGAAGTAGAGCTTCCAGACAGAGAGGTGAGATGGGAGGAGCTGGGGCAGCAACAGGCCCTGCAGGTCAACAGGACGAGAGAACCAGTCCCGAATGAAGCGCTCCGATGGGGTTTCCTGCTGCTCTCGCACCTGAGACAAATCAGACCGGAGACGCAGCATGAGGGAGTTCCGGCGTGTCAGGGTGTCGTTCGGTCCAAGCGATCCATTCCGCATAGCAGAGGGTAGACCCCGCACTGTGGAACTGTAGTTTTTCTGAGGGAGAAGAAAAAAAGGTTTTTGCATTTTTTACCTTTAGCCTTTTAAAAAAGAATGTGCGTAGTAGAGATAGAGAGTTCACCTTGCTGCGCCTGTGTGTGAATGTCTTCACTGTGCCGTTTTGCACACAGGTGGCGATCTTGCCCACGTACAGGGGATTGTTAAAAAGAGTCTGGTCTTTAAGACTAAATTGTTGGGACCAGTCCCACACTGATGGAAAGCGCAGAGCCTGGTCCTGGCCCAGGTGAATACTCTTACTGCTCGCAAAATCCTGAAGAGATGAGAGAGAAAGAGGCAGACAGACATAGAAGGGTAGACATCAGCTCAAAGAAAAATTGTATTAATAGTGATTTCTTGATATTAAATATAAACTTAGTGTAAAAGAGCTGATATTCAGTTTAGCTGTTATTTGGTAGAGTTGTTGACAACTCTTCATTTGTCATGTTTTATATAGCAGGAGATCAAGAATTAATGCATGCTTTTTGAGTTTATTACATAATATATATATATATATATATATATATATATGAAGAGTTCAGATGCAAAAGCCTCTAAATGCCATTTGAAATTTTCTTCTAAAATGACAATAAAATGAAAATAAAAATGATCATTTTAGAAGAAAATTTCAAATGGCACTTAGAGGCTTTTGCATCTAAACTCTTCATATATATATATATATATATATATATTAGGGCTGTGCAAAAATTAATTGCGATTAATCGCATCCAAAATAAAAGTCTGTGTTTACATAATATATTTGTGTGTGCTGTATATAATTATGCATGCATGTATATATTTAAGAATTATTTGCGCTTAAACTCTGTATATATATATATATAAATACATAATCTATATTGTATAAATATAAATATTTTATATATGAATAACACATTTTCTTAAATATATACATGCATGTGTGTGTATTTATATATACAAAATAATTATATACAGCACACACAAAAATATTATGTAAACACAGACTTTTATTTTGGATGCGATTAATCGCAATTAATTTTTGCACAGCCCTAATATATATATATATATATATATATATATATAGATTTAATATTTAATGTATTACAGTTTTCCAAGTTCATGAACTCCCTTAGATGTTAATACAAGTTCATGAACTCCCTTAGATGTTAATAAACTAATCAAGCATGCATTAATGCTTTAATGTTATAAAAGTGTGTATTGCAAAAATAAAACTAATTACAAAACTTGTCAAAAAGCATCTAACCCTGCTGTGCTCTGCTCTTTGCCGGGGGCAGTTGAAGAGGAACGTGCTGAAGACAGGGACCCACATACTGTCCCCCAGCACTGTGAGGTACACCTCAGTGAACTCGAATGCTGCTGGGTACTGATTCCACAGCTGCCACACACAGTCCAGGAACAGCAGGAACACAGGAGACTGTAGACAGAAAGAATATGAACAATAAAAACAATTTACTTCACATTTAAGTACCGCTTATAAATGAACAAATAAGATACTGGGTGCTGCACTACCTCCTCTTTGTCATTCTTCTTCAGATGGTTGCAGCGGTCCAGGAACCGATGCCCAGCCATCACCCACTCCTTCTGAATCAGACCCTGGAAGCCATGCAGACTCCTGCAGTGAGGATCACACATCAGCTGCACCAGACAAGATATCACACAACTCAGGTCCCGGTCCTCCTTCTCTGCTCACACACATAGGGAATATAAAGGGGCAAGATCATTTATCACTTTACATGACATTCAGAACAATAAAAGAATAGCGCAGGTTATTTATAACTTCATGTGTGTGGACAGCATTTGTGGGATGCTGATTACCACAGAAAAAAGTTTGCACTTACAGACAGCACCATAAATAATTTTGTTTAAAAAAAAAAAAAAAAAACTACATCTTGCAAAATGGTCTATATTATATTATTTTGTGTGGTAAACAACACTGGTCCAGAAACACTTCCTGTTTCAGTTTGTAACTGTTTTCTTTATTTCACATGTAAAGAAAACATCTTAAAGATGTTTGTTTAATATTTTGATTCAGTTTTATATGTTCTGTTGGTTGTATTTTATCCCAGCTTTAATGTAGTGTTAAAAAACTGAAACAGGAAGTGCTTCTGGACCAGTGTTCTTTACATCTTGCAAAATGGTCTATAATAGAAAAGGTCTTCTTACCTAGGAGTATGACAGACACATGTCTGCTTTCCAGCATATAGACTACGTCTGTTGCATGCTTCAAAAATGTCCTGTAAAAAAAAAAAAAAAAAAACATACCACACCAATCTTACCAAGTGCACACAACTATCAACATCTGAAAACAGATTTGTTGAGACCTAAATAAACACCTGAGAATGCACAAACTATGCCTGTTTCCAACATTTCTGGCACGAAATAACTTAAATATGCTGTGTGGTGACTATTGGGTGTTTCTCAATCATACCTGACATACTCCATCCATCTTGAGCTATCTAAAGATGACAGCCACTTCTCTTCAGACTCGTCAAAGGGCTCTGCATATGCATATAAATACAAAAGCAAGCAAAAAGACACATTAGAGCTAAAGTGGACAAGGCAATAAACAGATTATTATCTACTGAAAGACAGCTTGGATTATTTAATAATTGTACATAGTATAACTAGTAAGAGTATAAACTAACATGTTTTTAATGGCACAAGGAAGCACTGTGTGGGATTCTTGGAATAACCAAGAACATTCCTGGCCTTTACTGTAAACCCAGTCTTAAGCTAAATTATTAACATGAATAACCATGGTAAGTATTTCCTACAGTTAAAGTCAATTGAGTGTGTACAGCAATCACCCCTTTCTCCAACAGGATAGTATTTACCTATAACACAGATCTGCCTCAGTTTCAGAAGAGCAGTCTGAATATCCTGGATGTTTGGGAGGTTTTTGTCCAAATCCGACTTGAAGACATCACTGCGCAGGGGGTGACTCTTAATGATGGCACTGGAAATCCTACAGAAACAGAGGATTTAACCAATGCTAACTGGTGATAAATACAGAATATGAGAGCCTGTAATGTATCTTTGGCTATGAGCAGATCTGGCAACCCTACTAGGCTCATACGATCTGAGATTAATAAACAAGCACAATCACAACATTTGATGTAATTTCAAAATGAAATAATATTTGGGAAAATTACTGTCAAAAATATATTATCAAATCTATCTATAATAATCTTTTTTTCCTTAAATTCACCATGAAATCAAAATTGACAATTAAAAAAAAAATTATGGAATATTGCAGTATTCATTAAATTATTTATCCGAGCACATCTTTTTTAAATTATTTTTTTATTCAAGTGTGCTTCTATTCTTTAATCAAAAGAACTTGTATTCCCCCTTGCAGCGACATCTCTTCTCTGATGACAAGAGCAGGATAACCTGTCACTCACATGAGATCCCAGCAATAACAATCCACAACGATCCAATCAATTCCCATTGGAGAAAATCAAGCCCTGCCTTACATTTTTTCTTGTCTGAGAAATGTTTTTCTTGTCTCTCTTTCTTACCGCTGCTCCACCTTCCTTTGCTGCAGTGGGTCACTGATGTTAGACATACGGACCAGAGCGCTTCCACTGGAGTGATTCCAACACCATAACTACAAACCAAAGCACATACACACATAAATACTCTCCAAAAGATTCGCCTATGTATGTTGACACACATGCACTATTAAGTGCAAATCCATCCACCAAGTAAGCTTAAACACGACATGATTTTTCATTCTGCAAAGTTTTAAATTAAGACACTAACTAATGACATTCTCTCAGAATAAGAGCAAAACAGACTGGGGTAGTAAAAGTGATTTGTAGATTTCCTCCCCTCTAACTCTAAAACCAATAATCCAGTCAGGTAAATGGCGCTCACCGGGATGCGCTGGGAGTAAAAGCAGCAGGCGTATTGCTTCAGATCCTGATCTGCTAGAGATACCGGAACCACAAAGAACTCTGGGAGACTGCAAAAAGCAAAAAAAAGGAGTTAAACTCCACATAAACAGCTCCTGAAACTGTCAAGCACAATGAAATACGTGACTCTTCTTTGTGTTAGTATTATAAACACAATGACCTGATACTGAACTGCATGTGGATCAGTGCTTTCATTCCAGAGGATTACTGCATTCCTGTCTGTCTGAGCAGATTCATATGAACCTGTCATCATTTAATCAGTTATCCTCATGCAGTCAGGAGATTTATTAGGATGACTACAGAGGGCCTTTTACACAACACCGTTTACAACTAAAAACAGAAAACCTTTTATGTGTTTCGGCCGTTTATTTACATCAGTGTTTTGGGGCCTGAAAACATCAACTTTAGAAAAGGGGTTTCAAAGGGCAAGTTATTAAAAATGATTCCTTTATTGTTTCCATGTAAACTAAAAGAACGTGAATTTCTAAATATGGGGGTGTCATGTGCATGTGTATTACATGTTCAGTCTATAGGTCCATAGTGTTTCTTTACAAAGTGGCATGTATAACACAGCATTTTTAATCTTTGTTGCAGATACGCGTGAACAGGGATCATGTTGACAATGTTGTCGTTTGTACATGTAGGGACAGAAAGGAAACACCTTTCCGTTTTTAGTACATCATTGTCGTGTAAGTGTACCATAATTCATGATCACTTAAACAATAGCCATTTGTACTGTACATACTCATACCTGTGTTTCTGTTACATTTACTTTCCACATGAAAGTCATGAGCAACAATGAGCTTTAGCCTATGATGCTTATAATAAAAGCTGTTTGCAAAATAGATCATTATTTACATGTGAACTCTCTGTATATGCACTCACCTGGGTGAGATGAAATAGCCTTGATTTATGGTACACACCCTCCATTCAGAGGCACCGGTACGCTTAATTTCTCTGTCCCAGTCTGAGGAGCAGTCGAACAGGGGGGTCTGCAAACCCCCACCAGGGTCAACACCATTCACTGTCTCATCTAAACAAACCAGACATGTACATGCTCATGAGGGGTGAAAAGGTGAGAGTTGCAGGTGGTTATGGGACATGTTTACTGAGGTGTGTTTTCTTTAAGGATATGCTTAGTGCATTAAATAATTGTCCTTTTCTTAAACACATTAATGTTATAATAAATTAGAATTAAAAATATATAAATTATAATAATAAAATGTAATAATTACATAATTTCATTTTAATAATAAATCTCATTAAAGCTGCATTGTCGCCATTTCCGTTTGAAATCTGCAATTGCAGTTATTCGGTGTGGATACGGGCATTCAGGGTCACAGATTCTACTTTTTAGAAGTATGACCATCATAAGAATTTTCACCGAAAAATGTCATCTGAACAAGTTAGTAACATCCACACGTTGGTTTGTTCAGACCAACTAAAGGGGGGAAAAAAGCATTGCAGTAAATCACGCTGATTAAATGTAACAATCGCTTGTCATATCACATTAAACCGTGCAAATTATACTTTGGTCTCAAATTGTTAATGTTGACAACATCAGCATTGCGTGACTACATTTAATGCCCTTCAGATATGTAACCTTGTTTTCGCATGGGCTGGTTAGAGTCTCTTTTTTCATTTGCCCACTCCGAAGTCCGAATGAAGTCTTTTGCATTTTACAAGGGAATCTCCAGTTGTCATTGGTGATTGTCGTTTGAACCTTTCTGGATCCGGCATCAAATTAATAAGTTTAATTATATCAAGTGCAGTGAGAAGAGGCTATAAATCTCCACCTGCAGCATCCTCACACGCAATATAGCTTACTAGCCGAGACTCATTCTTTCTGTGTACAGATGTGACGTAATGATTCAAAAACATGCTCGAATTTCTCGCAGAAATCCACCAGTACCACTGCAATTAAAAACATTATTACAAGCTTACCGTTTTTAATTGAGCTACGGCAAGCAGATCGTTTTGAACACTGGTTACTATAATTTTTTAACCCAAAAAACGTTACGGACTGGAGCTTTAAATGAAAAAACTTCTATGGCCTTGAATTGGCAAAATAACAGTGATAATGGAGATATACAGTACACTACCGTTCAATAGTTTGGGGTCAGTACAATTTGTTTTTTTTGTTTTTTTCAAGAAAACAATACTTTTATTCAGAAAGATTGATCAAAAAATTCAATTCATCAAAGAATCTTGAAATAAGTTAACTAAATATTAAGCAGCACAACTCTTTTTATCATTGATAATAATAAGAAATGTTTCTTGGAATGATTTCTGAAGGATTCTGATCAATAAACAGTGTCAAATAAATTCTGCCTTGGTGAACATGAGACTTTTCAAACACATTACAAAACCTTATCGTCCATAACAGCAGTGTATATACTGTATATATATAAAAATATAATTCGATCTGAATTCTCTCTTCAGAATTCAGATCGACATATTGTAACATTAATTTAAACTGAATTCTCCTACATTCTGTCATTTCTTAAAACTGTTACAATGCAGCCCAATAATAGCAGCCATAATAATCTTAATATAGGCCCTGCTATTCACATGAGCTCTTTGCATTCCCTGGAAAGTGTCCTAATGTTTTGACTTGCAGGGAGGCTGAATGTATGGACACCTCAACTCAGTTTGGCAATTATTTGCGGTCACAGTTGCACATGTGTTTTCATACCCGTTGATCCATGGTATCGCTTTCCGACGTATTCAAAGCCAAAGAGTAGCTGAGGGTCAGCAGGGTGGGAGTAATGAGCGATGGCCAGACAAACCTGTGGGAGCACACAAAATGACCTTCATTGTTAGTTTCACTGTAACAGAACAAAAATATGACACTGAAATATAATTCCTTATTTCATCTCACAATACAAATATTTTGTCATTTACTAACAAACTGTTTGTAGTCCATTTTACCCTTACAAATACCAAATGCTCCATTACAAATGAGAAATGTACTTCTCTAATCTTTGGAAGGGATTTGAATGGGCTTTTTGGAGTGAAAATTAGCATGTGTTCAAATAAGCAATCATAACTGACATCCCTGCCACAGGGCACTGGAAAAATACCACCTGAACTGCTTGATTTAAATTCTAGGCACAAACCAGAGTTAGGTCCCGAACTGGTTGATATCCCCACACCCAAGACTATATAGTGCAGTTTGGGAATTTGTCTCCCTTTAATGTGTTTTCCTGCAACACCTGTTGGTCAGATCAATTGAGATGAGCTTTTCTTGGCACACATGTTGGATTCAGGCATGGAAATATTCAAAAACACTGAGCGCAGAGCACAAGATAAGCTGGACCTTTACCTTTACAACACAGTTAAGAAATACATTTCTCTTGCTGTATTTTACAGATTAGTCTTTAATAAGTGCACTCTCTGTATGTGCCACATAATTCATAGTTCTCCCAAAAATGATCTGTCATTATTTAGTCACCCTCATGTCATACAAAACCCATAAGACTTTGGATCTAAGACTAAACGCATTTTCATTTGCGTTTCAAAGATGAACCTATGGCTTTGGAACAACATTAAGGTGAGTAACATAAGAGAATTTATATTTTTGGGTAAAAGTGTTGAAACTCAGAAAACTCAAATAAGGGGTCTTTCACTTAATGTGTTTTTGCATTCCACTTAATGCTTTCCATTGCTTTTCTAGGTGAACGTGGTAGAGGGATGTGTTTGAGCGCTTGTGTCTTTTGCAGCATCTTACAACTGACACAACAGAGGTGGTTGAAAAATATGAGAAGGGAGGGAAAACAACAAGTCATACACTTGTTATTTCATAAACAAGGCATACTCTTGCAAAATGTTTGAGTTCCCCAGAGAAACTTTGCTTTCACTTGCAAAACTTTTGTGTTGGGGGAACGCAAACCATTTATGAGTGAAAGCAAAAGTACTGCCTGTACCAGATGTCCAACCCAAGGGCAGTTTATTTACATACTGTGATGACATGACATGTGCCCACCTTGGCAAAGATCTGCCCTTGTCTTGTCATTTAGCCTTGAGTTCATGCCATGCAAAGAACTCAAAACATAAATATGGACACGACCACAGTAGTTACATGGAAATAATACTTGACAAGGAACAAGACAAACATGAGGGCTTAAATATACAAGGCTATGAGACAAATGTGACAAATGTGAACATAATCAAGACAATCAACCAATCAGAACATGAAACATAAGGCAAGGGAACGCATGGAAGGATCACAAGACTAAAACAGGGGATCACATGACAGTCATGAAACAAGATCATGAAACAAAACCAAAACGTGACACTGCCAAATAATTTTTCATCCCATCTCATTTTGTTTTCCTCAACATGTCCCTTTAGGGGCTCCATATGACACGACATTCACTGTGTTCTATAAAAAGAAAGCAGCACTCAAGTTAAAAGAAGTACAACCTTGGAAAAACACATCTCTAGACCCTGTGCTTTTTTCATTACACATAATTTCAATGCAAAATCGCATTCTGAATGAATGAATGAATCTTGTGCTTCTCAAAGAAAGGATTGAATGCTTGTACTGGTAAAAAAAACTGACATTTCAGTTGCTTGTTTTTTAGAAGTGTTTTCCTAAGGAGATAGGTATAGGAAACTGAAGAAGAAAAACCTGCTCTAGGGACAGAAATGCTGGGAATTAATAGTTACAATTATGGAAACACAACAGACAAGTGATGTGAACAGCAGCTCTGTAATTTCCAACGGGATATTATGAAATTACCAGTTCTTCCTTGAAGGCAGGTACTCTGCTGAAGGGCTCATTAAAACCCAAAAGCACACATAAAATAATCCCTCCTCCATGATCCAAATACAATATTTGACATTTAGTTCCATTTTTGTCCAATCTGAGCTGAGGTATCTAGAGATATCTGAGATATCACTTGGCTCCTCCATAATACTAGTAGCAGAATATGAATAAGCAGTGCGCCTTGCATTGCTGTCAAGGAAACGCACTCTACTTGCCCTTCACATAAGCTCCATGGTTTAGCATTCAGTGGCACTGAGCAACAAAAGCATCAGAGAAGCTCTGGAACGGAACTTCAGGATAAATGTGTGTGTTTGCTAAGCGCTCAGAAAGTGAGAAGCGCGCTCAATGGGCTTTTTGTTCCTCTTGTTTTTGTGGTGCTTTTCTTGCCCCTTTCTCCCCCTTCCTTCACACATTCTCAGGAGCTGGCAGACTGTTTAGAGCTGAACTCTGGCATCTCTTTTTCCTTATCCCCCCCTTACTTCACTCCTCCTGTACCTCCAGTTATTCCCCTTAGATTTTGGGCCCTGTACTTGGTGGATAACTGCAGGTGAAAAGCTTGGCTTCCCTCACGGTCTTTTTCCCATTACTGAAAGGAAAACTCCCTTTTCAGCTTTCAAAAATATAAACAGCTCTTAGTGCAGCCTTTGAGATTCTAGTGACTAATAAATGATGACTAACAATCATTCCAAAGATGCTGTGGAAACCATTCATTTCGCTCTGAGTCATGCTACAGGAATGGCCAATCAGGGCTCATTATGCTGCAGGAATGACGAACAGGAGGCCGTTCTCCTATACTGACAGCCTTTGAGTCAGGAGCACAATGTGGAATGTTCGTTTTACACAAAGTTCCACATTGCCTGGCAACAGCAGCTGTTGTGGAGCAACAGGATGGGTTTGTAGGCCGGTGTGAGTCACAGAACTCGGACTTCATCGCATGATCTGATCTTGTATAAAGAGCTCTTTTTATCTTCTTTATGGCACAAATATATATAACGGGAGGGAGAGACATTCCTCAACAGAACATGCTTTATTTTATGAGGCAGAGACCCTCTGATGGTTTTGGTGGGAACTTTCGAACGCTTTACTGCAGTGCATTTTTTGTCCTTTTAAGTCAGTAGAGAAAAGTAAAAAAAAAAAAAAGACACGCCACTCTATCGCCACACACCATGTAAATATACATCGCAGAGAAAAGAGGGCACTGACAACGTGCCGACAGACAGGACAGAGCAGGTTACATTTGATATGAAACAAAGTATTAACTTTGGTAATTTTTTTAAGATATTTAAAGGGGTGATGAACTGAGAAATCAAAATTTCCTTGAGCTTTTGACATCTAAGAGGTGACATATAAGAATATTCTGTAAGTTTCAGAACTGAAAACGTCCTTGTTAGTCCAATAAAAGCTTTTATTGACACCAGGCTCAGCAAATGACTCGTTTTTTAAAGTGGGGAACTATGACGTCAAAGAGGATAAAACACCAACCCTGCAGAAGAAGATCAACGCCTACACGCATAGCTAAATAACATAAGCCTACCTCGTGATAACAAACCGGATCGAGAGTGAAACTCATTATAATATGCAAAACTGTTATCCACTCACAGCAGTGGGTGTTAACTTCCAAGTGTTCAGTGCGAGACACCCATAAAAACCGAGCGTTTTTGAGCTGGGCTCAAAACTAGGGTAAAAAATAGCCTGATACTTATTCATTTTGATGTTTTTTAATGTAAAAACCAAGCGAACGTCATAAGTTGACCTCAGACGACAATATAAATAAATTTAAAAAGCCAGTTCATGACCCCTTTAAACAATAAGTGTCAGATCGCTATAGCCTCTTAAAGCTGCTTGAGAACCAATCATCTCTTCCTTAGTCAATTTATAGCATCAAAGAAACATGAAAGAACATAAGAAGGAATGTTGTTTTAACCGCGGAAAGACATCAGTACACTCCATTTTTCAAGTTCAAATCCACCAACATTAATCTACTAACTCTCCTGACGGTTTTGTCAGACAAAAATGGTGGATGGCAGATCGCCTGTCAATCAAACTCCCTGCAAAGGATCAATTACCTTTGAACCTTGGCGCTCTTTGGGGTTCGCCGATCAAGCTATTTTTAGCCAATATCTGTTGATCATGATTGACGCCGATCAATCGGAGCATCACTAAATTTCGCCTTATATTTGTAACCAAACCATTTTATCTTCTATTGTATCTAAAAAAATAAATGAATAAACACATTCTTAAAATAATTTCCACAGACGAAAAATATGTAAATGATGACAGAATTGTTATTTTTGGATGAACTATGCCTTTAATAATTGAATTAACACAAGATTCTTGCGACTGACTGTTATCATATATTTTGAATATGCTTACTGCTACTTACTGTTATATTATATTTTGAAGCAATGTAAAAATATAACGTAAATGGGATCTCATATGCACATAATCAGGAAACCATGATTTAAATTCTCTTTTTTAGATGTATTTTATTGTATTTTATATTATCCCTTTGAAATTGACCCAGCACTGTGGTACAACTCAGTGTTTTGTTTTTTAAGGTGCTTTATAAATACATTTTGATTTGATTTGATGAGGGCTTTGTATGCGCATTTCAGAATCTACCACATGCCACTGGTTTGCTGTGGGATCAGTGTCCACCAGACAAAGAAGGTGGATGAAAGCAGTGCTGTCTAGGTAAGGAGAAAAACTATAATCCACTCATCCTACAACCTCTCAGTAGGGAAGGGGAGACGAAGAGAGAAGAGACTTCCTGAAACACCACAGGCCTACACTTCTAGGAAAAGATTCTTGCTTAAGTGGGACACAGACAAAAAAAGAAAAAAAGATCAAGGCGAAATGTGTCCATAAAACCGCATACACAAAAGGGCAGAACACTGACTGAAATTAATACAAATCATAAATCCACTTCATTCCAGGACTGGACCCAACAACATGAAGGAATTTCTCATACGTGTTTACAAATTTTACTTCAGGGAAAAAACATCCAGACTTCAGCAGGGGCTGCAGACAACCCTATTAGCTCTTAATCCTCTCTAAGACTAATCCAAAAGTGGCAGGAGGAGTGTGAGCATGTGTGGGAGTGTGTTTGGGTGCAAGAGGCTGTGAGGCTAGTTATTTTATTGTGTGTGTAGTACCTTTTTAGCACTCTCGGGTCCAGCTTCATCAAAGCGGAATCGGATGATGCGGAAGTCTTTGCAGTAAAGGATAAGCTCTGTAGGGTTAAATTTCAGCTTCTGATTGGATCCTAAAATCTTCTGCTTCCCCTTTACATCATTCACTATTAAAAAAACACACACACAAAACAATCTTATTTGGATTTTGTAACCATTACTGATAGTGATGAAAAGAAAGAGGACGGGTAATGATGGGGGGACGATGGGAAAACAAGATTGTGGCAGAATTGAACTTGTCATTTGCACAAACACTACAACACTTCAACAACATGTGTCAGAGAACGTGTAGTTACTGCCAAGTTTTCTAATCACACTATTGGATATTACATGTGCTAGTGAGCAGGGGGGAGTATAATCTGTATTATGTGTAATCTGTATTAGATAATATTCCAGCAAAGAGTCTGAAGGCATAAAAAAAAAAAAAAATCATGACCCGGTACAAATAAAGTAACAACAACAAAAAACCAACGAAAAATAATAAAGGCAGTTTTCCTTCCCTAAAGTCACTACCAAAGAATACAGAAGTGATAATTAAGACCACTTTATCATAAGAGGAGTTCCTCTACCCAAATATCATGTATATCCAACTGGATAGAAAGAAGAAAGGCTCATATTAACTTTAATGTTAGCAAAACTGGTGTATTAAACAGCAATATCACACAATCATGTTGTTTATACATGTATTGTACAATTTTAAAACTCTCAAAATTAGATTAAAATCACTTTTGACAAAATGAAGTGCCTTGAAACGCACAGCATTATTTGATGTTGACGTAATTTCCATTGAAAGAGGAAGACAGGCCAAGATATATATCGAGCAGCTCTTTCCCTTTTTTTTTAAACGGCCAATAACCTTTCGTTTATATCACAGCTCATCCAAAGCCTTTGCCGCATTTGACAGCCACAGTCTATAATAGATTTATAAAACTGATATTAAAGCAAAACAGCGACCATAATCGTACGAGGATGTGTAGTTTGAAAAGTGTGTACTTTATGTTGTTATCTCTTCAACCTGCCAGTGCTGTATCTAATGGTGTCTTTCTAACCGTTTCTCCACCTAATCTCCTCCATGTCGCTTTAAAATACAGCATTCTGTGAAGAATTCAAGTGGATCCAAGTCCGATACGTTTTGTGCGTATAATTCTATACGAAGACCACGGCACAAAATGTCTAATTCTGTTGGTTAATTGATGTTGTTCATAATAAAAAAGTCAACTGATGTTGATTAATACATATCTTAGATTAATACGTGCTTCAAAAATATTGTTCATTGTAATTTCATGTTGATAAATGTAAATATACAGAAGCTTATAGTGAAATGTCACCAAACTACTGAAGGCTCATTGTGTTGTAGATAAAGGTGTAGTATAAGTAATACTTTTGTAAGAAACTCGTATTATAAAAAAATGTAAAAAATGAGCAGATAAGGTCTGTTGGATGTGGTTCAAAATTAGCTTTCAGTCCCGTAATTAATACAGTATAGATGGCCTTCAAGGGCACTCTCCCAGACTGCAGGGGTCACTCTGCCTTACTGACAGATCGAAGCCTCAAAGAGTGTTTTTTTCCCTGCCTGAATCTCTTATAAAGGTCTTTTTGTTGAATCCACACAGACAGACAGTGAAAAAAGGAGGGGGGTGGCTAAGGCTTCATGCTCTATCTGTTTAGCACAGCAATTCAACACTTGGGGGGCTAAGTCAGCAATGGGGGGAGTGCAAAGGATCTAACACAAACAAGTTTAATCACGGCCAGGCTCAGGCTGCAGTCTGGCTGGATGAGCTCATCTACAGCTATGCTAAAAACAGCCACACAAACAGGTTCTGCAGCTACACTACACTATAAAGAATGTATGCATTGCTTTATGCATGGTTACAGTCATTTATCTAGGACACATGATTGTTTTAGTTATGTTAAAACAAATGCTGGGAGAACACACAAATGGAGATTAAACTTAGTACTCAGGTAGAAAGAGAGGTTACACTTTTCATATGTCCTTGCTTTTTTCCACTTTCCACTTTATTTTTCAAAGTAACAAAGTAACATATCAACTGACTGTCATTATAGTATAAGTAGACTGTAGAAGACTGTTATATTACGGTTAAGGTAAGATGATATGTACTTGCAAAGTCTCTTATTAAACTGGGAGTTGTGATTTACCAGATGAGAAGTCCATATATGTCTCATCTTTTTACTCTTTTAATTCATTTTATAACTGTAACATATATCTCTTTTAATTTCTTTGAATTGTCATAGTGTATGAAATGGGCTATATAAATACATAAACTTGCCTTGCCATATAGTCAGGAGAATGTGTGTAGAGGGAGCATCAAAATAAAGTGCCAGCATTATGCTGACAGTCTACTAATACTGTAATGAGAGTTAGATGACATGTAGTTGCAGTTACTTAAAGTGGACCGTCGAAATAAAGTGTTACCGAAAAGAGATGGAGAACAACCCAAGTTTAAAAAGAAGGAAACCAGTGAGTGACTGTATAAAAACACATTTGCAGGCACTGAAAACAAGGAGAAAGGAGAGAACGGCAGAAAATTAAGAACAAAGATCTCAGTGCAAAACCACGTCAAGCACAACAATGATCGGTCACTTTTTCGAGACCCTGGACGGAAGTATTATTTTCCAATCATTTTAATTCTCTTTAAATTTAAACAATTTAAGCTTCAAACCAAAACTTGAATCGCAACTTTACAAACTATAATTTGAAGTGAAAAATAAATAAAAATTACGGATGACTTTTTGCGAACATCGAACCAAACATTGCAAAAGTTTTTACTATTAGCATCAAATACAATATTATAAAATTGTTAAAAACACAGATTGCTAAGTTCACTGCAAGTGCAGGAAACTGATTTGATTATGTTGTATGCATGTGGGAAGATCAAATAACAGTTTGGGGTTATGAAATCCTGCCTATAGTGTATTTCAAGCAGTATTTCTCTCCTCTATAGTGTGTGCACCCTATAACTACTAAGTTCAGAAAAAGCCTGAAGAGTGGCAGGTGGTCAGCAGGTGTTGTTAAGCATGGTGAAGAATGTTCATGTGCTGTTGAATTACCTGTTACTACCTGCTCCACACAAGCCAGTGAGACATCATGCTCGCCCAGGAGACGGTGGGTGCACTGGAATCTCTGTGAACAGTAAAAAAAGACGAGGATTATTTTTAATTCACTTGCATATAATCGTTTTGTTGACATTATCCTGCAAAGAGAACATAATGAGCTACGGCTGGCATCCATATGAAGTTGAACAGATGTAATGGGTGAACTTTTTTAGGTTTAAAGGTTGTATCAGCCTTCAGGCCCGAAAAAAAGGTCCAAACATAAATGATCACATTCATCTAATCTTTCCTAACGATCCGATAGCTGCCCGCCCCATAAACCGGCCGTCAAAAAACGCGTCTCTGTAAGCTCGGAGATCTGCAAACAAAAACAATTGGTTTCACAAACCACTCAAAACCAAAATAAATAATAAATAGTGTTCCAACCAATCACTGAGAGGGGGTGGGTGTTTTGAGGTTTTGCGCTCGTGAGCGGCTGCACGCAAGGCCAATTTAGGCCAATTTATACTTCTGCGTCGAGGGTACGCCGTAATGTGCGGCGTTGGCTACGCACGTAGGCGACGCCGTTATGAGCATTTATACTTCTGCGTTCAGGTCTTGTTGCTCTGCAGTACTGCTCCGAAACGCTAGTTGGCGGCGGAGAGTTTTAATGTTCCACTGTGTTTAGATTCCTCGCGGCTAGGTTACTACAAGCAATGGGCTCTATGCACGGCGTTATTTCCGGTGAAGGATTAAGGATGCTCGATAACTTCCGCCGATCATAGAGTCCAATGCAATACCGAGAATTTATATTGAGTTTTATACTCCATGGTTATACTAATGAAACGTTAGTCACAAAAACAGATAAAACAGACACCCCTCGTTGTGTTTATGCTTCTTTTTCAAATTATATTAAATAAACATAACTATATATAAAATTACATCTAAACGTATGTACGTTTCGTTTCAAAGACGGGAGGACAGTAAATATTGAAGACTCTGCCATAATCCCGTTTTCTCCGGTTTTCCTTCGCTTTAATCTACACAAGCGGAAATGGACGAGCATCCTTACGTCAAATGCGGAACTTATGCGTGCATATAGCCCATAGCGATTGAAAGAGAGTGGATCATGTTGGAGTTGGAGCTTATTGAGGTGGAAAAACAGTTCACTTTAGTGAAATTACTAAAACTGAAAGGCAGAAATGAGAGAAGACGTCGGAGGAGATGGTACGTGTGGAAATCATAGACAGTGATGGAAATGCGTGAGAAGGTACGTGCGGAAATGCGTAGGAGGAAATGCGATGCTACCAAGCCGACCAATCACTGATCTTGCGGTCCGCGTCGTCGCGACGTGTAGTTACATTTTTGAGGAGGTGCGCGTCAGGCGACGGCGAAGGGTACGCGCAATGGGACGCGTCTGTGCGTATGCTACGCCGTACCTACTGCGCGCACCCTACGCAGAAGTATAAATTGGCCTTTAGTCTGAACTGAAGAAGAAGCCAGCGTCTATCAACAAAGAAGAGAAATTGAACATTGCTGAGTCAATCCCCAAGAGGAGGACGATTAGGGCGAGGGAATACCATTGTGTTTATTCCAAAACACAAATAGTTATCAGGAAGACAATTGAAAGGTGGAGAGAACTTGCGCGTATATTGATCGTTTTTTTTTTTTTCATGATACACGAAACGGGAGGGAGGGGCGAGCTTACTTGGTTTGGGATCTCGCTTCAAACACAAACAGAAGTGACGTCATCCACAAATGCTGATTCAACCTTTAAATAATGTAACAATTTACCTTCTTTTCTTAGTAAAGGCTGATTATCGGTTGTCTTAGAGAGATTATTAACAAGTTTAGCTTGTTTGAAAGCTGCGTGACAGCAAGGAGTGACTATAGAGGTTAATATGTGCAGAAGATTTCACCGCTCTGGAAAAGAACTTTGGATTCTTTTCCATGAAATGGTCTGAAAGACAGGGTATGCATTTCCCTCCTTTTATGCCACATTTATCCACTCTAGTAGGGAGTAATACTCATGACACCAATATAATCAACTGTATTACATTGTATAAATGCATAAAACTGTAAACAATTTCACCTATATGTTTGTGTATCTAATGTGGACCCGTTTTATCAATTCTTAAAGCTGAAGTGTGTATTTTTTGTTTAAATATTATTCCAGTTTAATGAGTCAACGACAGTGTATGTACTGTAAGTCATTAGTAGGTTCATTCAAAGCCACTGGAAGGCACCCTGCAACATTTAGCCAAAAAAGTATACCGGTCCGGCTTTGGCAGTATGCAGGGAAGGAGACAAGAAGACGTTTTTTAATGGATATCAATGATGGAGAGGCTTCACTACGTTGAATAAACAGCCTTTGTGAGGAAATAGCTAATCATTTAATGAATCGACAGCCTGTTCGCTAATCATCAACATGTTGTACACTAAACAATACTTTCGTTGGGAACTGTGTAGATTTTACCTTGATAAAAATGTTTGGTTTTTTTTAGAGAAGGCAGAGTTGGGACTGTCACTGAAGGTACTGTGAAACTCATTCACGGCATTACTACCAGCAAATGTGTAGTAGTATTTAATAATAAGTATTGTGTAATATTGAGTGATATTGTAAATTGTCTAAAGAAAATAAACAATATCAATGTTTTTCTTCCTTTGTCTTTTAGGTTTTATAAATTATGCAACTATATTACTATGACTGGCATACTGACTGATACAGTAAATGCTGATACAATGGTTTTTAATAAACAAAGAGAAAAGTAATAATTGATTTATAAATACAGACAAAGGGTGTATATAAAAAAAAACAAGGGGTGAATTGGGATTGATCCTAAGTTTACTATGGTTACACTTAAATGTATACTTTAATGTACTATAAGTGGGCCAATTTAGTCCCAAGCGGTATTAAAATACTACACTTACAAGTTTACTTGTACATATTGACATTAGTATACTTACTACGTAGAATTTAAAAATATACTTTAAAATTACTTAAGTATACTTAAGTGAAATTAACCTTTTTGTAATGGTATGCATTTGTAGGAGTTTCCCATTCAGACGCAAAATGTATGGGAGGAGAATATTTAACTGAATCACGCAAGGTGATTTACTACGGTTTGCGCTCGTCAATTTACTGGTATTTGGTCCAAAATTTACAGACAAAAAAAGCATGTCTTAAACCAGACCCTAATTCGAACTGCTCTCTCTTGGTAGACTGCGTTGGTCATTATGGAAATGATCCGGCTACGTCTGTATTCTTTAATTTGTGTTAGACGTTACACATACTGTGTTAAGTTTCTAATTCTCACCAACAAGTAATGGAGAATAAATGCCGACCATGATGCTCACAATCCTATGTCTACATTCAGGCCTTGAAAAGAGTCTTTTGCTTCAACTACAAGAGATGTTTCTGGGCTAGAAGGTGAATTATTTTCCACTTCCTGCTGAAGATAGCTGAACAAGATAAATAAAATTCACACACTATTTTCTGCTAGCAGAATTGTTCAAGTCAGCAATTCACCAAAAAAAAATTCACCAAACAGAAAAAGCAAATCTTTTGTTTAAAATGTTGTGTAAACATTCAATAAGACCTGCAATATCATAAACCAAAACCATGTTTTGTAAGTGCTTAATAATAATCCATATTATAATCACTGCTGATTGTCGCTGTGAGGCTTCTTTGAATAAATATATCTTTAGACAATAGGCTTCCAAATCAAGGCAGATAAACACTGACTTTAATATAAATCTGAGCTTACCTTTAGTGGCAAGGAATTATGGGGAATGAAGGAAACCTTGAAGTTGGTACACACAAGTTTCCCCCAGAGGCCATCCTGAGAGCTTTCTGTCCCGATGCATTTCTTTACAAAGTTCGCCTCATTCACAACTATTTCACCTGTAAAGAAGGAACAAGGAAGTGAGTACAATCAGCTCAGCAAAGGATGACTAGCTCACATTTTAACATATTTAACATATGTTAAAAGGAGATGGTGGTGCTTCAACATGCTTTTATTTAACATGTACCATTGTGTCCATATTGTTATCTCACAACCCAAATTTTCAAGAGCTAAACATACATCAATGAAACTGCAATCAAACACTTCTGGCTGCTAAATAAACAAGCTGTAACACCACAGTTCCTCCACAACACACAAGCAGAGTCTTATTAGACTTTGCACTCTCAGTCTCCACATAGGCAGAGTTCAGAAGCAACTTCTGGATCACTGACCAGTGGCCACTCATGTAACACACACTTGAGCCCCTTCATAATGGCCTTCCAGGGAAAACCCTCTCCTGAGAAGCTACTGTGACTCTCCTTTCATGTTGGTTGAAAAATGATGCCCTATTAAAAGAAATGACCGGTTGTGCTGACTAAACAGTCACATAAACTTTTACCATGTACCGCGAGTGCACATGCATGCTGAGAGTCCTGAACATTCTCTCTCTCTCTCTCTCTCTTTTTTTTTTACACAAAGAGGAAATAAGCAGAGTTCAAAGGCAGGTGTACCAGTAGCCAACATATGATAGGCTTTCAGGATGCAGAAACACCAGGTTTTGGGTGGAGTGGATCTAATATAATTCTAAAGAGACATTGACACCAAGGACAATAACTATAAAGTTTTACAAACAATCTAATTCCAAATAGGGAAGTCCACTAACAGTTGCTATAATGACAACAAAGAGGAACGATATAGTCCGAATTTTCAAGCAGATGAACAATCAAAATATTGACAGCTGAACAGAATCCACCCAACTTAAAAGAGCTTGAGGATTTAAAATGGCAGACAATTTAACTGCAGCGCATGCTGTTCAGAGTAAACAGAAGGGGATGTTGACAGAACGTTGGTTTGGATGCAAATGTAGTTATATCTCTTTATAGTTTGGTGTGAACGGGCCTCGACTAGGAAACTAGGCACAAGTACCCAACTACTCTGACATCATAGCAAATAGGAAATATTTTGAAAGATAGACAATTTATTTATTGTATATATATTTCATAATTATACAATCACTATTTATTGTATATAATAATTATATATTGGATATTATTTGTGTTATGCTATGGCAGATAGCCAATAAATGACCAATACTATAAAAAAATACAATTAGGTTTAAATAAATTAAAAATAGTGTTATAGTATTAAAACTAAAATCAATTGTTTTAAATGCTACAAACAAATGTAGGCATCAAATCATCATGTACAGTGCTGAAAACGGAAATTCATTTTATGGGGGGTGGGGGGGCTGAACTTAGTAGAACTTATTTTGACCGAGTAGTCAAAATGAGCGAAACACATGTACACTAATTTAGAACATGGTTTAAAGTTGTGGGCTGCAGCCAACATCTTTACTTCCGTCTTTGGTTGAACTCAAAATAAGTCACACACTAATTAAATGAAATAAAGAAACACACATTGCTTCATTCTAAACATGGCAATTCCTCCTCTTTTCGCATCCAGACACATTAAGCGCTCAAATGAACAGAGATGTATGTTGAATAATCAAGTTGCTGAGAGAAAGAGTGAGGGAGAAGAAAACAAACTCCAGCTCTTGTGTGAGCGCAGTGAGCAGGTTTTGTCTCACAGCTGGGACTGGGTTACTGTAGGTCAGGGTGCAGGCTAGCTAAGATGGAGGTTGGGCCCTGTGAAACTCAGGCAAAATATTGGTGAACACTTCACTATACGTCAAGCCGTTAAAACAGTAGACCAGCCAGCTGATTTTCTGAGAAAAGTTATTCGTTTATGACTGCACCCACCTTCTTTACAGAAAGTGTGAATGTCTTAATTCACAAAATTCTAAACGTCCATCATACAACTGCATATTTAACAATTAGATAGTTTGGTTAATCTGATAATGCTTTTAGTTAGCAGAGTAATCAGTTTAAAACATTTTATTATTTTAATATACTGTATTAATATTGTTTTTTTTGGACCAAAATGTATTTGATGCTTCAAAACATTCTAACTAACCCACTGATGTCACATGGACAACTTTTATGATGTCTTTATTTCCTTTCTGGACAAGGACAGTATATCGTACATACATTTTAAACGGAGGGACAGAAAGCTCTCGAACTATCTTAAACTGTGTTTTGAAGACGAACGGAGGTCTTACGGGCTTGGAACGACATGAGGGTGAGTCATTAATGACATAATTAGCATTTTTGGGTGAACTAACCCTTTAAGTGAAAATTGCTGTGCAAGTGATAGATCTATTAGACAATCTATTAAGGAGAGCACATTTCTTCAAAACAAATTGTTGCATAATAAAGTAAGTGTGCTAAAGGCGTGGAATGCTAAAGTGCAATGTGAGTGCAGGCATTCAGGGGAGGACAATTTTTGTGGACAACTGAGCATATCAGTGAACACTCCTGACCACTCGGTGAGTTTAAGGTCTTTGTAAACTAAAGTTAGGTTTGTTCCAATGCACCTTTGGAACCAATGTGGAGGTGTGTGGGGGGGGTACTTGTCCTTAAAGTACGATGAATTCAAATTTCTTGTCAATGTTTTTATCATTCATCAGCTGGAAAAAAAATCGTGATTCATTCCAACGTAATCGTGTCTCTGTGCTGTTATCGTTATAGTTGTAGAGTGGACTCTGCTATTCTTTTATATTTAGAATGATTTTTAGAACTATCATTATCGTTAGATGTTCTTGGTGGATATCAAAGATGAGTTTAAAGGGAAAAAAGTATTGACTACAGAGGGACTTTAAGACCTTGGTATGAAGCCGCAATCTCTTATCACCCATCTTCAGACTCACATATTCACAGGCGTTCGCCCACTCGCAAATTCAATTTCAAACAACTTCCGCTTTACAAGCAGCCTGGTCTGTAAATGGCCATGACAACATATCAACATGTGTCTGATCAGCAATCTACAGTGATTAACCAGCAGCTCATCCTCTCAGATCAACCAGTACACAGCAAAAGATCAATCCAGACTGCTGATGGGAAGGAAATACACATGGTAGTTTGGCAGATGCACTATATGAAAGCAGCAAGACAACACCACACTGAAATTGTACGCACAATATTTCTTTCAAAATCATTTAAAAAAACTGATACATTTTAAAATGATTTTTGTAATTGTTAAATCTGCAAAACGTGATGGTTTTATACAGTATATCCTGATAGTGATGGTTTTGAGATTTCAGAAAAGACAACACATAAGAGCTCACATCATAGCATGCCACTAAAAATAATACACACTTGACATCAAATCTACTTGATTGATTGACCCGAGTCAAGTTAAAAGACAGTCTGCATCTTAAAATAACAGCATCAAATATTTATATACCATGTGACCAGGCTTCCTGTGTTTACATCCTGTTAGAAAAGGGGTGTTTAAGCTGGTGGCATGTTTGATCAGAACACCTTGGGTTGTTTTTTTCATAGCTTTGAATTTGGACAACAATTATAGCAGAGCTAAAGTATTAAATTGTTTCTATGGCTAAAGCAGGGATAGAAGATAATAAATATTGCAAGTGAAGCAAACTGTGTACTTGAGGTCGGATCGATTTCGGCACAGGAATTCTCTCTTGTTGCATTGTGCTGCAAACGTTACACGTCAATGGATCAAAGCAACATGATAACAAGAAGAGGCCTAACAGAGAGAGTGACAGAAAGAGAGAGAGAGAGAGAGAGAGAGAGAGAGAGAGAGAGAGAGAGAGAGAGAGAGAGAGAGAGAGAGAGAGAGAGAGAGAGAGAGAGAGAGAGAGAGAGAGAGAGAGAGAGAGAGTTGGGTTTGTAAAAAGACACCATTCATGAGACAACAGCCATGTTTTGTTGAGATGACTAGGCACCATTAGGCTTCCATGTGTGTAGGGAGTGGTAGACTGGTTTAAATGGAACAGTCAGTAGGAGGTCAATCTGAATGGATACATTCTACTCAAATGTTACCAAAGGCAGGACTAAAACAATCCACAGAGTTTGACGAAGACATACTTTTTTCTTTTTTTTCTAGAAAAAAATAAAAAAGCCATCAGAAAGCCATTAGGCTTTTTGAAGTATAATGCACCAAGTATAAATTTTATGCCTAACTTGCCTTTGATTACCATCTAATGCTCACTTCAAGTTATAGTTTAAAAACATTCATTTAATAACACTGGTAAAGGTAATCTTTAGAAAATCCCCAAATTAATATCTATTTTTTATAATGTACATTACAACTTTAGGATGCTGAAATTCACCTGTATTTAAAATGACTGATTTTAGTTTGTGTTTTATTTTAAAATATCAATAATGTGAGAATAAATAAGAGTGAGTGAAATATAGTCTAAATAAAAACTACTTTAATGACGAAATAACTTTATGACACAATGATATTGTGGTCTTAAAAGCTTAAGAACCAGAAAGGTTCTAAAGACATCTGTTTACTTCAAAAATCCTTGCTCACAACAATTCATGTGCATTGCAAACATTATATCAGTGTTCAATTATTATAGATGAATCTACAACATACAAAACTGTTAAAAGTTTGGGGCTTTAGGAAGAAGTATCTTATAGTCACCAAGGCTGCATTTATGTGATCAAAAATACAGTAAAGTAATATTGTGAAATATTACACTTTAAAATAACTACTCTCTAATGTAAAACATTTATTTATTCCTGTGATGGCAAAGTTGCATTTGTTCCTTATCATCAATGTTGAAAACAGTTGCGACAGGAAATATGACTGGGTTTCTAAAGATACGAAGCTTAATGCAAATGGGTGAAGTAACCCTTTAATATGTTTGTGGAAACTGATAAGATTTTTAGGGCCCAAGCCCTGAAAGGGCGAAGGCCCTATTGTTTTCCTTGCGATTATTTTTCTTCTCTATTATTATAATAATTAGGGCCCAAGCCCTGAAAGGGCGAAGGCCCTATTGTTTTCCTTCCGATTATTTTTAGGGCCCAAGCCCTGAAAGGGCGAAGGCCCTATTGTTTTCCTTAGGATTATTATTATTATTATTATTATTAGGGCCCAAGCCCTGAAAGGGCGAAGGCCCTATTGTTTTCCTTAGGATTATTATTATTATTATTATTATTATTATTATTATTTATACGACTATTCGGGCACTTTTGGGGCCCTTACCATGCTCAAAAACTCTTGAAACTTAGCACACGGGTCAGAACCCGCGGCCATCAGGGCCGGGCTGAAGATGGTACCCGGGCGTGGCAGGGGGGCTAGACAGCGCCCCCTGGAACGGGGTCCGAAAACTTGGTCCATAAATCAAACACGCTTGCATGTAATAATATGAAACTCGGTGCACATGTTGATCTCATCGTTTCATCTATACCTCGTGCTTTTACTTTTTACCCCAGCCCAACAGGAAGTCGGTTATTTAGGGTTGTTCATAAAACACTCGCAATGGAATTTGAAGTACTACTCCTAGAGAATTCAAACTCACGGCACGAAACTCGGTCAGCATGAAGTCAAGGCATTGACGATGAAAGTTTGCGAGGGGATTTTTGATATCTCGAACGGTTTGGCCATGGCGAGGAAACGAAATTATGGCGAGAAACGTGGAACAGGAAGTGTGTTATAACTTCAGCATACATTAACTGATCTTGATGAAACTTCAGCAGTATGTTCGGTGTAAGAGGACGATCACATGGATGTGACTATTGTGAGTCAGAGTTATAGCGCCACCAACTGGCAGCAGGAAGTGTGTCACTTTCAAAATGCTTTGAACTCACCCTTTTATTTTTACCCGATGTGCTTCAAACTTAATCTGTATAATGTAAACACATAGCAGATGAAGACCTGTGAATGGATTCTTGATATCTTTGATACTGTTGCCGTGGCAACGCATCAAACTTTAAAATTCTTTTTTTTTATGATTTTGAGACTCTTAGCGGCTTTTGGGGCCCTTAACGGGTTTGAAAACTCTTGAAACTTTGCACACAGGTCCGATCCCACAGCCATCAGAGCCGGGCTGAAGATGGTACCTGGGTGTGGCAGGGGGGCTAGACAGCGCCCCCTGGAACGGGGTCCGAACACTTGGTCCATAAATCAAACACGCTTGCATGTAATAATATGTAACTCGGTACACATGTTGATCTCATCGTTTCATCTATACCTCACGCTCTTACTTTTTACCCCAGCCAAACAGGAAGTCGGCTATTGAGGTTTGTTTGTAAAACGCTCGCAGTGGAATGTGCAATACTCCTCCTAGAGAATTCAAACACACGGCACGAAACTCGGTCAGCATGAAGTCAAGGCATTGAGGATGAAAGTTTGCGAGGGGATTTTTGATATCTCGAATGGTTTGGCCGTGGCGAGGAAACAAAATTATGGCGAGAAACGTGAAACAGGAAGTGTGTTATAACTTCAGCATACATTAACTGATCTTGATGAAACTTCAGCAGTGTGTTCACTGTAAGAGGCTGATTACATGGATGTGACTATTGTGAGTCAAAGTTATAGCGCCACCAACTGGCAGCAGGAAGTGTGTCACTTTCAAAATGCTTTGATATCACCCTCTTTTTTTAACCGATTTGCTTCAAACTTCATCTGTATAATGTAAAAATACAGCAGATGTAGACCTGTGAATGGATTCTTGATATCTTTGATACTGTTGCTGTGGCAACAAATCAAACTTTAACATTCTTTTTTGATACTTTTGGGACTCTTAGCATGCTTGAAATTGCTTGAAACAGATAGATACATATAGCTCGAGTGATACATTACATTTATTAGTCAGTAGGCATGTGCAACTTTGGCAAAAGATTAAAGTAATGTCAAAAAAGTAAACACTAAAAGCCTCATATCTTCTAAAAATGTAATTATACATCATTTGTTTCTAAATTAAATTATACAAATATTATAATTAAAGCAGTTTTTCCCTTTTTTCATTTAAGAATTATGTTTACGTTCAAAAACAGCCAGAATTGTTGTAAAATTCAGAAAAAAATAATAATCTGAGTCATACGTAGTGCTATACTGCCCTCTTGTGTTCAATATCAGGTAGGCCTATTGTGTATATTCCCACCGGTTAATCAACGTGTGACTCCGCTGGGACTTGGGAGCTTTTAAATCGCTTACTTAAAACCGAAAGTCAAAATACGGATGTCCGCACAAGACATTAATGGTGTGGAGTAGAGCGAGCATTTTAAATAAATTCCTATTAAGTAGGATTGAACTAAACAGAAAGAATGTTCACTCTGTTCTGCTGGTTCCTCGCTGGTGGATCATATGATTACTTTGTCATAATCTATGACAAAAATGCTATTATAAACTATATTAATAATAGATAATACACATTGCTCTTATTTTTAAAAAATACATTCATGAAAAACAAGATAACAAAAATCATAAAAAGATATAGCCATGGCTGCTATAAATGTTTGAAATGCATAGGACAGATGTTTAATGACGCAGCAACATATAATTGAAAGGCAATTAATAATCTGTCATTATGTCACTGCATTATGATATTACGGCTCTAATACGGTGCAGCACAAAGCACTTATGTGCATCCCGAGCGGAGAATGATGTGCTTGAAGCCACATGAAGTTACAGCGTGTTGAGTCCGCATTGAAAAGTTCAAAGCACAAAGGAAAAACATATTTATGAACAGTGTATTATACATTATCTATCTATGCAATAGTTTATTGAGCCTTTTCTTTTAAAGGTTTTAAATTTCAGTTACTGTGTGCGTGAAGAACAATTATAGTGCTCTGACTCTAGTGTTGTGATCTAACCGACAGCGTCCGACACCCAGTAGAAAGTAACACGATTAAGTTACAGCAATAAAGTCCAGCAAGAAAAAGTTTCTTCATTCGAAAATATAGACCTTTAGACCTTTATCTTAAAGACCCAGTATAATAGGATTAACATTGAATCATCTTGAAGATCGTTTCATCATTGACTGTAACCGAATGCGACGTGCTGTTTGAATGCTGAATGGAGAATGACTGACAGGCGCAGAGAGGGAAAAGTTTACGTGTTCTTGAATTTAATGACTTAAATATTAATATCTATATCACATAATAGCTTCAGAACACTTATAATACAGTACACAAAAATTGTATGGTACTTTAGAAAGTTTTTGTGCCTTTGTGCCTTACATAGAATAGTACATGCCCAATATAGAATTTGAATCAGCCTCGTCAAAGATGGCAGTGTCAGAGCCGATACCGATCCTGAGTATCTAATCGGCGCACTTCTTTTCAACAGTCAAATTGAAATTGAAATTGCTTGAAACTCAACAGATACATCACATTTATTAGCCAGTAGACATGTGCAAAGTTTCAGAAACGGGCATGGTGCAAGGACTAAATAGCGCCACCTTTTGACAAAAGTGGGGTTGTTAGTTTTATCTACAGTTACAAAAATCGGTATATACATTGTACTCCTCAAGCCGGACAACTTTCTAATACATAGTCATTAGCTCGGACCAAGAGGAAGAGAGATATTTTGTTTGAATATGGTGAGCCTCTCTCTGAGCCTACGTCCCTGTATGGCAAGCCCTTTTAACATTTAAAAGCTAAGTTTGCCTGTCCGGAATTAACATTGTAGATATCAACAACGTCTTTCTGTCTATTCGTAATTACATTTTGGATAGTTTGTATTA